CACAGTTAAACATGTGAACTGCAGATGCTTCTTTTATAGATGAAGAGTTTGCGGCTCAGCGTTTGTGGATTGTCGTAGATCCTGAGTGGCATAGCTGGGAATAAAATCTTAGGATTTGTGACTGTCCTCTGTCCTGCTCCAACTGACAAGCTCACTGTTGTATGTAGATAGAAGAGTGGGCTTTTCATTCTGCCTTTATGCAAGATCTATCACTGAAAGATGCAAGCTGTTCTAGCACCAGCAATGGAAGAAAATAACTGGTTTAGACTCTTTGCTATGAGGATATGGTAAATCAATGCACAAGATGGGATTCCTGATGCTGATTTGCTGGTGATATAGTAGTTTCCACAAGACAAAATACAACTGCCTGTCTATCTTTTACACTGGAATCTGCTCTGTGCTGTACTCTGCTTCGTAATACGCTGCTACTACCTCGTACAACACACTTCTGAACTGGGTATTTCCAGTGAATCCTTGTTTAAGCTTGTCCTGTTAGTTTACTACAGCTTTCTAACCAAGTTCTGACTGCCTCTTCTGCTTCAGATCCAGGCCTACATGATGTGCAACAAGCTGCGTTCTGCCTATCTAGTCTCGGTGAGACAGCAGAAGACGCGTGCAGTGCAGCTGGTCCAGCACGTGCGACAGCTGGCTGAGAACAGCGGAGATGATGTCGTGAAGGCCATCTGTGCCCAGTGGCTCTCGGTGCACCAGCCCAAAATGAGAAACCGGCTTCCCCAGGGCGCTAGGAAGTAGTAAGTAGTTGACATGTGCCATCACACAGAAGGGGAAGGCTTCGAGAGAGCTTAAAGGCGTGTGGTTCAGCAATCTCTTGGTAAAATGGAAGTATCTTTGCTGATGTTGGTGGCAAATGGACGCTGCTAATGTGCCTCTGGTGAAAGGAAGGGAACTAAATTACAAGTGCCAGTCCTGTATTTTGACAAACAGTCACTACCTCAGGGTGTTTTTTGGCTATCTTTTTCATGGGGGGGGCGGGGGGGAGGGGGCAGTTTCAAACTGAGCAAGCAAGAATTTAGGTGTGTAGAAGAGAGCACTGCTGTTTCTGATTTGGTGGTTCTTCTTGTTCATGTGTTTTTTGTTGATTTTTTTTCTTTTTTGAAAGGCACCCAACTTTACAGTTTTTAATTCAGAAAACCTATATAGAGAGGAGAGAAAAATCTCATCAAGTCAGTGTAGCCTACAGTATTAAAGTTTTTGTGATTATGGGTTTCCTGTAAACTTTTTCAAAAATTGGAGAAGTCGTCTTGTACAAAGACTGAAATTGAGAGGTTTTTTTTTAAGCCTCCGTACAAACCATTGCTACTTCTTTTTTCTTTCTTTTTTTTTTTATTCCCCACTAGTAGAATGTGCCCAATTTCTTTAGTTCATTTAAAAAGGTAGGAACTGATTCTTCATGGCAGGTTTCTACTTACCAGTCACACTGTCTGGTGTGTGCCATACAGATGGCACTTGAGCCCTTACTAGATGGATGAAGTTATAACGGGCATATCCTGTAAGGGGAGTACAAAGGGAAAATAATCCTTTAAAATAGTTAAAAATCACTTACCTCTTTCGCTGCTATGGTAATATCCAATAAATTGTTGCAATACTGCTTTATCACTGAACAGTTGCCAGTAAAATTCCAGAGTTTTTCATCAGGTGTAGCAGAAAATATGGATAGAGCTAGCTGTGATAAAATTCAGCCATCCGTCTGTATCCCTGTCACGCAGGGATTTATGTGTTTCTCGACAGAATAATCTGTCCCTGTCCAGTACAATGGAACCCCAGACTAAATTTTTATTGACTGGAGATACTGTATAGACTATACTGACAGGCTTTGCCCTGGAAGTGTTAGGTTAACTCAGTTTTATTAAAAAGCAGGAATCTTTGTGTAATGGCTGTGTTCAGGGATGCTGAAAAAAGCAGCTGCTTCTCTGCAGCCATGATTGGGACATGAGAAATGGGCAGAAGAATGGTAGACAGTAGTAGGACCTTCAAAAAGAAACAGAACAAAACATGGCAGTCTGCAAGTTTGTGTTTGCTGTTTACATGTATTTCGGCACAAGAGGTAGGAAAACTGGTTCGTTTTGTTGAAAGGCTTAGTTGTTTACTTCAAAAAAAGCAACAGGTTTTCTGAAGTGTAATACAACTGTAAATAGTTTTAGTACATAAAATAATTAAGACTGTCAAATCAGAGTTTTGCACTACCCCTATGCTCACTGCAGCGACAGAACAGACTTCCAGGGTCTTGGAAAGGACTTGGTCCACCTCCTGTCGTGTTCGGTGAGCAGTGCCCGTCTGACACAGACACCTCTCTCGGAGGTGCTCTGCTCACTAGAGCAGGGCTAGAAGTGGCTCAGAGCAAAGCAGTCGGAAATGGCCACATTTAGCTTTCAGAATCTCCTGACCACAGATTTGCATTATCTCATTAGTGAGCAGTACTAATGAAAGCTGCTTTTGTTTTCTTGGCCAGACTGACCTAGCTTTCCATCAGATTGCAGCTGTTAGGCTAATCCTAAAACGTGACACTATCCATGTCTTCGATCATTTCCAAATCCCTGATGATGGGGAGGAGGTTTCCCTGTTCGTGGGTATCCAGATCTGCCTTGCTGCAGTACCCACCTTTCTGCTCGCATTCCTTTGGCTATGTAGAGCACAGAGTGGAGTTTGCCGCACAGACCAGTCAGTGCTGTACCTGCCTTTCTTCCTGACCTCTTTGCACTGAACCTGATGCACTTTATGTAGTGTTTGTTGTAGTTAGATGTTCCTAACTTGGAATGGTAGGGATCTTTCTCTTGCCAGCAAAACTGGAATTTTGATCCTGACTAACTGCCTTGTGTCACGAATAATGCAATTATCAAGGGGCTCTGAATTTTTGAGCATCAAAAAGGGATTGAGTACTGCCAGTTAAAAACAACTTCTCTGTTAATGACCAAGGTTTGTTTACAATGAAAAAAGAGAATAAAGTATTATGACTGTTAACATGTCTTCTGTTTGCTTTTTACCTCAGCATAGCTGGGATCTCTTTCTAGATCTGTATTTTGCTTTTGGCTATGCTTAGCAGAGTAACTGGAAGGGGGAGATCGTTCTGTCAGGCAAAATCTCTCACTGCTACAGTGTCCTTAATATTTAGATCAATTGGAATTTCACATTTTTAGAAGTCCTTGCAGTAGCTAGGTAGCTAGCTCAGCCTCATGCATGTACTCTCACAAATCGGTAATCCTCTTTAGAGAGCTTTGCAAGTTGATCTAACTCTCCCTTACACGCCTCCCTTCGAGACAGCTAAATGAGCTTTAGTTCCCTCATTTTGCAGATCAGCCTAGAAGGTATAAATGACTTGCCCAAGGTCAAAAAGAGTGGGGGTGTGTGTATGGAAATGTGTAGTTGTATGTCTGAGGTTAAATCTACAATCAGACTTCTTTAGAAAGAGCACTGACCTGCAAGGGCAAAATATTTCAGCCTAGAGAAGCTTTCTGCTTTTTTCAAAATGGTTTCTATTGCTCCTGAAAGCTGCTTTCAAGATCAGAGAATCGCACACAGAGGAGAGCAAGCCAAGCCTGCAATGCTAGGCACCATTCCATTGCTATATTGTAGTTGTGGGTTTCGCTTCATGTTCACGATGAAGCATAAAGAGGGAGGAAAAAAGGTAGAGTGAGAAGAGGGAGAAACACAAAGGGACTTTAAAATGTTACCCAAACTGAATTCTCTACATTAGTAAGGCAGGTGCAGATAATAGCAACACTAAGTAAACTGATGTAACACTTCTGAAGGAAGATGCGGTCTCCTGGTGTAAAAGGAAAATTGCTTTATTTAGTATTGCTCAGAGGTAGTACAGGACTGATCTGCATAGACAGCATCCAGGCAAAAACAATTAATCATAAAATTAGAATTTGTTTCCCAAAACTGGCAGTTGCTCACAGTGGCATGCACAGTGTATTTTTTTCAGAAGACAACCCTGTGAGCTGTGGCACTTAACTGCTTGACTCTTTCAGAAATAACCTCTGATGATGGATCACACTAGCAGTTTGCATGGAAGCAGCACTAGAGTTGCAAGGGAGCAGTCCCATTACTTCGTGGATTGGCCCAGCCACCTTTCAGAAGCGTGAGCTATGCGGCACTGCAAGGCCAGGCTGGCAGCCTTGGGCAGCCAAGGCCCGTAACTCCTGGGCAGACAAACCTCAGAACTTCTGTGCAAGTCCTACATTCCTGTCCTGTAGCTAACCTGACCATAATATCGAGATAGTCCTGACCTCTGCTTCAGCTACTTAGCTCTAGGTAGTTTGCTGTCATTTAAAGCTGAAGTCTCAGCTGAAGCTGTTTAATGTTTAACATAGCTGAGATGTTCTTTACTCATTCTGTGCTCTTTTCTAGGTTCTAAAGTTGCAGCTGGGAGGTTTATTGTGACAACTTTTACACCATCTTTGCTTAGTGTTTCATGGGAGAGATGTTAAATTTTTTTTTTTAATAAGATCACTTGCCTACCCGCAATTGTAGCACTCCTGCAGCTTTTAACCTGCCAGTCACCTGTACTGAGACCTGGGTTCTCAAACTATATGCCAACCCTCAGTTCGCTTTCTGTAATCAAGGGGCATTGGGGGCCAAGATACCTCAGTGGCTAGGGCCAGCTTCTTACAGAGAACACAGAGAAAAATAATTGATTCCCCTTAAAAACTTATACCTAACGCTTGGCACAAGAAGGCCAGCACCTGTTTCTGTGTGCTCAAGCGCATGTAATTGCCAGAAAATCTAATATCCTAAAGTACTTTCACTCTGCCAGGTCAAATAGTAGGAACTCAAAATAACCTCACAGATCCTAAGTAATAGTTTACACTCCTACCTTCTTACTATTAGGAAAAAAACTTTAAAAAAAGGTAATTCTTTGTTACTTCATAATCTAAACCTAAGACTGCAACCTCCATTTCTATTCTAAAGCCAGAGAACAATGGCCTCTGGCTGTTGTGAGAGATGATAGATACCAAGCAAAGCTTGCTCCCTGCGTCAGTGCTCTAATTCTCCAGCTAGGAAGGGGGACTGGTCATTTACAGATCTCAGTCCTTAAGTGTAGTATTCCAGAAATTCACATTAGATTGTGTCCATAGAGCCATGATTAGGGCAGCTGAAGTATCAGCGTTCTAGTCTTGGGGTCTCTCAGCAGTGCTCTTCCCAGGGAAGCATCGCTGCGCTCAGCCAGGTACACACCTGCGGCCTGCGCTGCTCAGTCCCACTGGATGCCGAGGAGCTCGCAGCTCACACTCCAGAGCTTCTTTGCCGTCTCATCATCCCGACCCCAAGGAGATACGTATGCTGGCTGGCAATCACTGTGAGAGAAACATTTTTTATTTTCATTTTTTTAAGTCAAAGACCTCCATCTGCATTAACACACTGAAATGTCTGTGTTAAGATAAGGGAGTTGCTTTCTATCAGCTTAATTTCCAGAGCACCTCAAGAAGGGTGGGAGGCTATCCAGCAAATGAGCAAGGGCTGGTGTTAAGCCACCTTGAAAAAGCTTTCTTTCCAACTAGGTAGGGAAGAGTGTCTCCCAATGGCACCAAGAATTGGCAAGCAAGTCTATTGTCGTCTGACTCTTAAAGAAATATATATATGCTCTATTATACACTCTTCAGTGTACATTCTCATTAATACCACTAAAAAGGGCTATGAATACAAACCAGGCTTCTTCAGGAGCACCTTTTCTAGCAAACACTACAAAAAAGCCACTCCAACAGCCCTGCATTGTAAGCTATTTATCCCATCCTATCCATCCCTCTATATTGCTGCTGCATGAAAGGCAAAGCTGCCCCAGAATAACAGTAACACTAATAACCATGCACGGGTATCCTCTTTGCCATTACCCTCTGAACTGTGGCTCCTTTCTTCTCAGCTCCTGCAGTCAGACAGCACTCTGTCTGGAATCGAGATCCTGTGTTCTCATCTGTAATGCTAGATGCTGCAAGAGCATGGGAGCTTAAGAGAACAGAGGAAACCACAGCTCGTAAGGTTTTGATCCAGCCTAGAGTTAAGAGCTCCAAGTTGCAGTGTCTCTGATGTTCTTGAAATGACTCGGGTGGACTGCGCCTGTCTTGCTGCAGCATGCAAATTCTTTTCTTAATGTCTACACTTGTGCTTTTATTCTATTGTCTGGAAAGCGAGAAGGATTTTAGGCTAGGCCAGTGTAAATTGGGAATTACTGCTG